TCCCAAAGGAGGCTGATCAAGAAAGTACACCACATAAACTTCCATACTCAAACGTCGATTCTCCAGTGATTCCGAGTTTCATTATTGTTTTCTTTAGATTTATATTTGTCACTTTTTTTACCGTTCGAATCTTTCTTCATAAAGTACAGACTGCGTGCCATACTTGTCCGGAAATATCATAGACACGTACGATGGGGACGAAACTTCTTTGGAGGGCATTCCTCCAACGAAATTGGCACTGCATACCCGCGAGTGTGGGATGGCATTTCAGTTCGTCCCATCGGCGCTGACACATGTAGAAGTTACTGGTACGAAAACAAACGCAGAGCGCAAAGCGGCAGTGTAGAATATGTCAGCCGTGCCGACACAGTGGCAGACATGATCGGGAGACCAAATTTCTCGCGTCGTACGGCACGGCTCCATCGTTGTCGCTGTCCCACAAAACATCGGCGAGGTGAAAAACTGTGAAACTTTGTCTCCACGAGATACGACGCATAAATATTGAAGCACTTAATGACGCAGCACAGGCAGCACTTCATGCTGTGAACCCAGCGCAACCGCACCACTCCGACTTCAATGCGTACCAAAGTACGCGGCGTGGTTTCGGTTTCGTTTTCTCTGGGGTTCTCACTGCCTACCTTCGGTACCGGCCGCGCGGCGGCGCGCCAGTCGTGTCGCACGGATAGGGAGGCTCTATACGCACGGAGTGTATAGGGAGTATTCACTGGCGGCCATATCCGTGTGCGCTGCTGCTGAGCGCGTGCTGACGGCGAGCTTCCGCAGTCCCGTTGGAGCGTGCATTTAGCACCATCAAGGTTGCCGGTCTTAGCAGGCTATTAATAGGGAATTGTAGCAGACCGTTTTTCTCTTCCGCTACGATATCCGTGAAGAAAACGCCTCAGCTGCGCACGCGCGCCGCCAGCCTAGTCTTTATAGTTCAAGCTCTTGTGGCGGATTACGGAGCGTTATCCGGGTGCTTAGCGGGCTGCGGAAACGGTCTACTACAATTCCCCAATGTGAGCTCGTTCTGAGCCTGCGCTCTAAACATCGCCCTCAAATATGGCGTCTACTGAATACCTCCTATACACTCCGTGCGACGCGATTGGCGCGCCGCCGCGCGGACGTTACTGAAGGTAGGCAGTGAGAGCCCCTGCGAAACGAACCTACTCCGCGTACATTGGTACGCATTGAAGTCGGAGCGGTGCGGTTGCGCTGGGTTAACAGCATGAACTGCTGCGTCGTTAAGTGCTCCAATACTTATGCGTCGTATCTCGTGGGGACTAAGTTTCACAGCTTTTCACCTCGCCGATGTTTTGTGGGACAGCGACAACGATGGACCCGTGCCGTACGACGCGAGAAATTTGGTCTCCCGATCATGTCTGCCACTGTGTCGGCACGGCTGACATATTCTACACTGCCGCTTTGCGCTTTGCGTTTGTTTTCGTACCAGTAACGCACACATATCTCAGCTCGAACTGAAATGCCATCCCACACTCGCGGGTATGCAGTGCGAATTTCGTTGAAGGAATGCCCTCGAAAGACGTTTCGTCCCTATTGTACGTGTAGATGATCTTTCCGGACCAGTATGGCACGCGGTCTGTACTTCATGAAGAAAGATTCGGACGGTACAAAAATTGACAAATATGAATCTAAGGAAAACTACAATGAAACTTGGAATCACTGGACAATTGATGTTTGAGTATGGAAGTTTATGTGGTGTGCTTTCTTTTTTGATCAACCTCCTTTTGGATGTGGAAACGCTGACACCCCGAGTATTGTAGACAACAATTTTTTTTTTCTCGGCTTTAGAGCCATCTGTCGCAAAGTTATTCGAACTGGAAGTACCGTCCACTGGTCCCTTCCTACCCAGGGCTTACAGTTTGGGGGGTCTCATGGGGTCTCTACCCCCCCACTGATTTTAACGGATGGTCTGAGACCCTCCTCCGCAGCCCCAGCATTAGTGAAATCAAAATCATATCTTGCAATAAGATAGCTTGTTTTTCAGGGATGTGACATTTGGGGTTGAGGGTTGCAGGTACAGCGTGGACAGAGTCAGCAGCGGGGTTTATTTTACGTGCATCTATTACATCTCATAAACCCCCCCCCCCCCCCCCCTTTTCCCCACCTTCTTGTAGGGACCCCCCTCAATTTACGTGGACTCTAAGCACTGTTCCTACCTGTAAAGTGTGCACCTCCCGGCCATGATGAGTGGTATACTCTTGACAGCCTTTGACGGTCAAAACGGGTTCCCATTTAGTTACGCCGCCCAAAATTATTTCCACCAGGTTAAACTATGCCACCTTTTTTAGGTATAATAATTGTTTTGTCAAGTTACGGTTGTCAAAGTACCTGTGTGCCGAAAATCAGCACCTCGCACAACCAGATTACTACACAACAGCTGACCGCAAACGGCTTTGACGGTCAAACTGTGTGTTGGCCGGCAATTTGGTTTTCTCGGCTTTGAAGCCACCTTTCGTAAAGTTGTTTCAATTGGAAGTACAGTGCACTTAGTCCCTTCCTACCTGTGAAGTCTCCATCTCCCACGACGCGTGGTATACTCTTAAGAGCCCTTTCACGGTCAAAACCGTTTCCCCTTCAGTTACGCCGCCCAAACCAAATGTCTACAACCTAGTTTCCCTAGGCCACCTATTTTTTGGTATTATAACTGTTGTTACGGTCATGTCCAAGAACTTGTGTGTCCAAATCTGCACTTCGCACAGCCCGGTTATAACACAACATTTTGGGTCCAATATTGGATATTCCTGACAGCTTTATTCCTTTATTAGTTCGAACCATAACTTTCACACTTGCTGTCTTAAAAAAGCTTGGCACACTTCGTGCACAAACTTAGTGAACATCTCACTCGCCTCCAAATATCATCGTCCCAGCAGGCCTACCTTTACAGCAACGAGCGAAACAAATTTCCCAGTCGGAGCAATTATGGTGGCGGCCGTCTTGCTTTTCGGAAAATTGCTCAAACCCCTTTTTCGACCGCAACTAAAGAAATTACCCCTAATAACGACTCAAACTCAATATATAAGAAGCGGAGAACAGCTAAATGCCCTTCTTAAATCTTCCCCAGCACTCATGCAACGTCACCCTCAACTTATCGGCTCAAAAAGCAAAAGTTTCGTCCGTGCGCGCTTCCGCCGCCACAGCTTCGCACACGAAAAGGCGCCGCAGGCTACTGAGCGCGCCTCACTGTCGAACGCCAGCTCCTCCGCCAGCGGCGCTGCGCGCGTTTTTCAAAGCGCCCCCTATAGTTCCCGCACGGAGTGTATAGCTCCTTCAATTGGTAGCCACGCTTAAAAGCACAGATTTCTCGGTGACTTTTCATAACGTTATGTAACGATACGGTGGCTTGTATACGTAAGCTTACGTAACGTAACGTAAAGAATCGGGGCTGCGTGAACCAGCCTATACACCGGATGTAACAAACAGGAACTGCGGTGTGTCATAATCGTAACAATGAAGGAGGCCCTTTGTTTGTTTTCATTTATTGCGCCTCACTGAAAAGTACACGCGAGGCGCTCGCATTGATGATGAGCCGTCAAACCACGTCTGTAAATCTCTGAAAACAATTACTTTTTTTTTTTTTTTCGCGGTGGTCAGCGTGTCATTGAAGAGTAAAAACAATCGAGAGAGGTTTGATAGCAACATCGACATTTCATTTGGCAGTGATCGGCGGAAAGGTTACGCATCTCTGGTTCTCCGTTTTTAAATGAAACACGATTTATAAAAATCGCTTCGGTGGCTTTCTGAAATCAGGAAAAATAACAAGCTCATGTTCTGCCCCCCCCCCCCCCCCCCCCCCCCCCCGGGGTCCCTTTTGTGTTTGTGTGTGTGCGCGCGCGCGCTTCGTGAATCAATTAAAAGAAAAAAAAAAAGCACCATAATATTATACAATCTTATACACGCTGAGAACAGCAAAAGCACGCAGTTTTCGACGTGAACAACCCACGATAACCATTGCAGGGCCAAAATATATATTTTATCTCGTAATCTACTGCCAGTAGTTAAGCATTTTAAGTTACTTGGTAAAAACAAACAGCCCCCCCCCCCCCCAAAAAAAAAAAAGAAAAAAAAAGTGCAAAAACACAATAGAAAGCGTTGAAATCGGCGGTCCAAACTCATCGATATCAACCTTGCCTCCAGAAAGCTTACGAAATACGAAAAAGCTGGAGATTTCGAAGAACCCTGTTACGCGCTGCTGCAGAAGCGAAAAAAAATGTGTCGGTGTTATGCGCCGTACAAGAGCGCATCGTGAAATTCAGATGTCAGCATGGCCGGCTGTGACCAACCACTTTTCATTGCAAATGAAAGTAACATTGAAAGCACAACGCTTATCAAAGGCCACAGTAAGGCCATAGAGACCAACTCATCCGGCCTCACAGCTGCATATTGCACACGAGCTCATGCACATCGTTTTCGCGTCTCCTGGACATTGCGCACGCCGCACGAGAGCGCTGTGGGAGTGCGAACTTACGTAAGTTTAGTGCGAACGGTAACTCGGCCAGGTGCGGGCGAGAGCCGTACGTGCTCGCTGTCCTTACCCACGTCACTAGCAGAAAAACAAAATACAAACTGTTTTCTATGTGCGACGAGACTCAAATAAAGCGTTTCAATTTTCCCCATAATCATAATACATAAAGAAATCCATAAGGGGGGAAAAAATGAAGACGTGATAAGAACGTTTAATTTTAGTGCGCTCGAATCCGTAAATGAAGCAAATTGCTACTTTCTCCAAGCCCCAAACATGTAAATTGAACGAGAAGGTAGCCATGCCACGGAATTGTATACCATAACTCCTGCGAACAAGAGGAATAAATAGCACAATGCAATTAATTCGGGAATGCCTAGCCTCATAATATAGTGCACAGCCTCGCGAGTCGAGGGCATATATTTATAAAATGTGCAGAAATACGTCGACGTCCGATTTCCGGAGGCCATTTCTGGGTCCCATTAATGCGGACGGATGATTGGTCGACTCCCTTTCCTTCAAAAATTCGCACTCCTTCATTTTATTGAAATTGTTTCAAACGCTGTCAATCGTACAATCGATGTACAAGTCTTCAGGGACGTTTTAGTATCAAAGTGAGACAAAAACACCATACAGGCGATCCTTTCTGGGTACATGATTGCCGGACGCTAACTCGGTGTGACAATTCATACGGCAAGGCGAAATGCCCGTCACGACAGTGCAAGAAAATAATCTTTACCCTTATAGGCACTTATCAGCTAGCGATTATTGAGTTGCTACAAATATAGCGTAGTTGCTGACACTGCCGCAACGCTTTCTTTGTACTCGCCTCGGATCATATGAGCTGTAATTAATATCAGTAAATAAGGCTTAATAAGTTCTTGTTAAATATTGCAGAGACCCGAGATGGCATTCGAATAAAACTCATCTCATAAAAAAAAAAAAAGTTAAAATTGTCACCGGGGAATAAGCCTCGCGCAGCTTTGGTCCACCGTTACTTTAGACATCTTGAGAAGAGACAATATGAAATCACGCTTTTCGGCATTGCCCAGAACTGTAATGCTCAAACCCAAAAGTGACTACTACTCGGAAACCTCGCACCCTCACCACACACCTCTTAGCTAAAAAAAAAACTATGGTGTCACTCATGGTAGCACCTATGGTAACACCTGTATAGCACCTGGTACCCATAGAAGACGTCCGTTAAGGCGTACCAACACCCAGCTACAGTAAACCCAAGAATAGATATCTGCGTCATCTTCCTGTTTTCTCAAGAATATAAGGCACGCCATTTGAACCACGGCTCCTGACGTGATTCGCATTTGAGTCAGCGCTCAGTCGACATCAGCCAAAGAGACGTACCTCACACGAACTCTCCAACCCGGAATTCGACACAAATGACACAAAAGTGTCGATATCAGCCGAAATCGATACCGGAAATAATTATTGCACTTCAACGATTGTTTTATGAGATGCGACCTTTCAGAATGCTGTCTGAAGCACGAAAAAAAAAAAATCGACAACAGTTTCAGCTCATCTTTCTTGTTCGTGACGCGTACCCTAGCTAGCTGCAAGCTGTAGCTGGTAAAGTTGGTCCACCCGGCCTTCCCTCCTGATACTCGTGATACCGATTTTTCCAAAGTTACGGTCGTTTTTTAGCAGGCTCCGGTAACTGCAGCAGTATTTGACTGACTAAATTAGAGGTTAATTCACAGAATTTACTAAAAATATTGTATGTTTGAAACTGAGAGTGCTGCCGCGCGGTATAACGGCGCGCAATGGTCATGCAGCAAGAACGTGACATGGTTTCACGTTTCCGGAAGGGGCGGCAAATTTATCAATTATATAGTGATCTCTTTTTAAGACACTTTGAATAGACCCTTTCAAAAGTTCATCAAGCAACATTGGCTGTCACCTTTGCTTGGACCGGATCGGATTGGACCGGATCGGATTGGATTGGATCCGAGTCCACGCCTAACGATGAAACAGCACTCGTGTCCTGTACATGCTCAGAATACGCGATCAAGCAATGGCGGACGGGCGATGGCGCGGACTTTTGAAAAGGGTCTATCACACAATAAAGGAAGGTCTTGCGATCACGCTTTCATCGGGCTGTAGTAGCGGAGGTTTTCTCGTAAGATGACGGTACGCGCATTGGAAGCCTCACTCGACGAAATATTCGTAAACAACAACTACGAAGGCACCATTGGTTTAACAAGGCACAACTACCAACTGAATTTCGATTCTCTCGCCAATGTGCTATTTGGAAACCTTGCCGATGTCTCTCGCTCGGGCATAACTTCGAGGTTTCTTCGGGAAGGTTCGAGCAAACTTCGAGCGTCACGAAGACCGTAAGCAGATGAGCACCAGACATTTTCATGATTGGGCCCAGGAAAGGCGGATTCAACAGAGCGCCATGTGTCTGTGGCAGTGTCGTCTTCCAGAACGGCGGGGTCGAGCCACGGCCACGCCTAGGTGGCCACGTTTCCTCCGGAGCAGACAAACTGGATGCCGGCGTTCAGGTCCCTCGCGTTGACCAGGTTGTCCGCGCAGAAGTACGGCAGCAGGACCCCACGGTGCAAGATGGCGGCCACGTCCTTGGCGGCTGGCACGCAGGCCACGAGAACATAGACTAGGATGTACCAGAAGGCCGCAAACCCGGCCACCCAGAAGGCGACGAAGATGAGCAGCAATGCCCAGATGAGCATCCAGCACACCTTGGCACCCCCGCCGCCAGCCATCGCTTGTCCGATGGGTCACCTGCGAGTTCATCGCATGCGCGTGGGATAAACTGCTGGTAGTGCAATGACGATTTTGGGCATCGCTAGTTTGGCCTTGGAGCCTTGCTAAAGACATAAGTTTTTTGCACAAGTTTGCACGAAGCACCCACACCTCGATCGTTTCCAGAGTGCGGTTCGAAACTGCGCTAGAAAACGCCGTATCCCCCCCCCCCTTCCCCGCCCCCCCCCCCCCCCCCAAAAAAAAAGAAAACAAATCTGTAAACGTAAAAAAAAAAAAAACTAAAATAAATATATATATATATATATATATATATATATATATATATATATATATATATATATATATATATATATGGGCGGTTTCATTCGAATTCAGGCAACGGGGTGCAGTCGGATTTTTTTATTTTGGTTCACATTTTTACATTTCGTGGCGCACGTTCCAGGAAGAACAATCCTTTTTATTTTAATGTCCTGATTTGTTTAGTTTCCGAGGAGAAAAAAAAAATCCCAAAGAAACGGGGAACAACAACGAGGTTTTGACCATTGTCGTGTGTGGCGTTTTTTAATCACTTACAATCTCAAAATATTCAAGAGAGAGCTTCAATATTTCTTTTTTTATTGCCAGGCAAGTAGGTAAAACGTCATTCAAAGTACTATATATTATTCGTCGCTCCAATGTTGGTAAAAATCCTCAAATATGCCCCCGCGAACAACTTTGACCTAAACTGCGGATTCTGTTTTGAGTCGACTATGTTGAGTATCGCTTTTAAAGTGCAGAACCTTTCATTGCCTTCCACATTATGCAAAGTTTGTGTCCTAATCATGTACGAGTACTCAAAAATAATTTGTGAAACAGGGAAGTTTTCACTTTTTGTTCAATTTTAGCACGCTGTATAAAAAACATTTTTTACTTAGAAAAACACTAGTTGTTTCCAGAGTAAAATAAAAACGTAAACAAATAAAAAGACAAAAATAAATTAAAAGATTCTGTTGTGTGATCAACATGAATTTCGATTTAAAATATCAACTTTCCCATTTAAAAATCTAGACTTTCAATAGATTATACTTTGACATTTCTAACAAAGTGTAGATTATTTAGCGCATAGTGTTTAGGCTTGAGGCCTCTCCAATCATGGCTACCGGCGGAAATTGTCTGAAAACCCGCTTTCGGTTGTTGCGATTTTCTAGAGTGTTTAGACGTTTGGAATTGCAAACTTGTTATTATACGCTAACGACATGAATGTACTTTATACGATTATTTATTAAACGTCCCTTAGATTCTTATAACAAAAGAATAAAATATACAGCAATAACCCATAAACCCACCATCGGCATTTGCTCTTGTTTAGTATATGTAGAGGCTTAAAACTCAAAACTAGTCCATATAACTCTAACGGAATGTATGCTGGCTAAAAGAAGGGTGCAAAAAAAAAAAAAACGCGACGCAAGAAAAAATAAAAAAAATATTTTCTGCATAAAGCGTGTTAAAATTGAGCAAAAAGTTACAACTTTCTCTGTTTCATAATTTATTTCTCAGTGCTCATACATGATTAGGACACAAACTTTGCATAATGTGGAAGGCAATGAAAGGTTCTACACGTGGTATTATTTTAAAAGCAATACTAAACATAGTAGACTAAAAAAAAAAAAAGTATCCGCAGTTTAGGTCACCATTGTTCGCGGAGGCATGTTTGGGAATTCTTACAACGATTAGAGCGAAGAATAATAAATAGTCGTTCTAATGTCGTTTTACCTACTTGCATATATATACATGACAATAAAAAAAATAGAGAAGCTCTCTTTTGAATACTTTGAATACTCCCGCTTCTCTGAGATTTTTTTTCTCACAAACTAAACATGTGAGGACATTTAAGATAAAAAGGATTGTTCTTCTTGGAACCTTGCGGCACGTAATATAAAAATTTGAAGCAAAATAACAATAAAAAAAGAAATACGGCTGCACCTCGTTGCCTGAATCGAAATGAAACCGCCCATATATTATATATGGGCGCTTTCATTTCAATTCAGGCAACGAGGTGCAGCCGTATTATATATATATATATATATATATATATATATATATATATATATATATATATATATATATATATATATATATATATATATGTGTGTGTGTGTGTGTGTGTGTGTGTGTGTCATGTCTTTTAACTTAACAGATTTGTTTAAAAAAATCCGTGAAAGTTACACTTATGTGGTTTGTGCAGGTGAGTCATACGGCCAGGAGGACATAGGCTAATCGTAACGATCACTCGGCTAATTAATTAAAATTCGTTCATAACATTTTTCAATTAATAAAAATAGACATATAGTTTCCAATTAGAAACTTGCTCAGCTTCATCGAAAACCACTAAATCTGTACTTTGCAGAAAGACTTTGAGAGCGTGAGAAGCGTAGTAGTGCGCTGAAGTTACCACTCGTGGAGCAGGTACGAGGCTGGGGCTAGATAGGAGACGGAAAAATCGCGCGGCGCCATACCGGAACCGCTAGCCTTGTACCTGCTCCACGAGAGGTAACTTTTAGTGCACTACTACGCTCCCCGCGCGCTCGAAGTCTTTCTGAAAATTACTGATTTAGTGGTTTTCGACGACGCTGAGCAAGTTTCTAATTGGAACCACATGTCTATGTTCATTAATTAAAAAGGTAACTAACGAATTTTAATTAATTAGCCGACTGATCGTTACGATTAGCCCCCTACTCTATGTCCCCCTGGCCGTATAACTCACCTGCACAAACCACATAAGTTTAAATTTCACGGCGTTTTTTAAACAAATCTGTTAGCTAAAAAAACACACACACACACACACAAAAAAAAAAGTGTTTATAGAGTGCTTTTACGAAAGCCGGACAAATTCGATATTCCGAAAACTACGCATTGCAACAAATAAAAGGCTTGTGTCATTTTGGTCCTTGGCCAGGGGCCTATTTAGGAAAATTATAAAAGTCCGGGATAATTAGATTGCTAATTATTTTTGCGTAATTAACTTTTTAATATTGTGTTTAAGGGCATGGTTTCAATTAGAAAATTGCTCAGCACCATCGAAAAACACTAAATCAACAAATTGCAGAACTATAGAAGGCACGCGAAGCATTTTTCGGCTTTCTGAAAATCCACATAAATTTGACATGTTTTTTAATTTCTGTTTGCAATCGGAGCGCACCTCGGCCCCGACGGCACCGTGCCCCGCGGAGAAATAGTGCAACCAGCCTCTGCTGCGTTGCGCGAGGACAGCGCAGCAGGGGTTGGTAGCACTTTTCGTGAAACACCCTGAATATATATATATATATATATACTGTGTACTGTATATATATCTCGGTGGCCGAGTGTGTTCCGCTGATTGGAGCACGTGGAGCGAAAGCTCGCACTGCAGAGACCAGGGTTCTGGGGCCTGGGCTAGATCCCCAGGGTCCCTGTTGGCGGTCCGGATGCGATCATATACCGGCGTGCACTTGTGTAATCGAGCACGATGCACGTTAAATATCCCAGACTAGCAGTCGTCACTGCACAGGCTGTACATTGTTCATCTACAGTGTGAACTGGTGCAGACCAACCTCACGCTGTGGAAACATATATGTCTAATTTTCTCTTCTTTCTTCAGTAATGAGAACGCCGGGAAAACTGTCGTTCTTTTTTTTTTTCCCTAGTGTTTATGTCCTGCCTGTCGCGCTCTACCCATGTGACGGTAAGAAGCACTGCGCGTAATCAAGCCCGTTAATGCGTTGATTTTACGAGCAACAACAGATGCCCCCAGTACATGAGGTGCGAGTGCGCTGCAGGAAGAAAATGGCCGCTCATCACTGAACCGAGCTATCAAGCAGTGGCGAAGCCCGTAAATTTTTTCAGGGGGGGGGGGGGGGGGAAGAGGTGGTTGGGGTGTCCATGATTTGGGGGGGGGGGGGGCGGGGTTGCTGAAGCCCCATAAGCTTCCCCCATGGCTACGCCACTGCTAGCAAGAGATGCATTGTTGCCTTTTTTCAGTACGTGACAACGTTACTAGATTAGCTCATTTACGGAACTGCTCATAAACGCTGCTTGCACGAGCAGTACCCCCCCCTCCCCCCCCCCCCCCCCCCCCCCCCCCCCCCCCCTAACACGGCTCACCTACCGTGGTTCCACGCGCCGGAGGACGGCTGCTGTGGTAACTGCAGCGTATTCTGAAGAATACCTAAGTTTCGAAGCACAGCGTCTAGATGGCGTTCCACCGTACTCTATGGAATACAGTTTTGAAACGAAAATCTAGATGGCGCTTCAAATGGCGGGAGGCTAAGGTCCCTCTATACTGGACTTTACGGGAGGCTACGGGAGGGGGAGTTGTGGAACTCCCACGGAGGGGTGTTGGGGAACCCCCCCTTTGCGGAAGTTCCATAACTGAGGTAATCTAGTAACGTTGGTACTTGCTTGCAATATGCGTGTCTCAAGCATGCGCAGAGCAGTGATTGGCGCTACCCCTGAGAAGACCCGAAGTATATCCAGATTTTTTTTACAGAGCGAGTCCGGGTGTGCACGTGGCTTCGATTTTGAAGGTTGCCCTGTGTTGTTTGACAGCTGACTCGAAGATGAGGACCGCTAGCGCGGCCCTAGGGCGCGTAGGACGCGAAGCGTGGCCTGTGACAGTGCGATGCCCGGGCACTGGGCAGCTCAGACGCGTTTTCATAAGATATTTCTGTTCTGCGTCTCGTCGGCCCTCCTAGCGGGTGAGCGGCACGCACCAACCCCCACAATGCTTGTGTGACGGGATATGTGTGAAACGTCGACTACCATCAACATTTTAAAGGTTCACCAGCTCGCCTGCATGCTCACTGTTATTTCTATCTATTACTATGCAACATATAGCGGACTTCATTAGCATGCACACACTGACAGGGGATAGATACGTATCCGTGGCGGACTTCGTCGCAGGCATCGCTCAATAAAACCGAGTAGTCAGATCCACAATACTGATTTGTGGAATTATGTAATGCTTGAGAAGGCCCCAAGCTTTACAGAATCTGTCACCTA